CGTGGGTAAAACCCTCACTTCTTCAGATGCAAGAAGTGAGGTTCTTACCCACGAAAGCTTATGCTCCCAATACTTCTGTTAGTCTCTAAGGTGCCACAGGACCCTCTGTGACATTCTTTAAGAAACTTTCAGCTCCTGAAAGCCCAAGCCTGCAATTAGAACTGCATGGGCTTACCCCTGCAAGAGAATGAAATCAATGCAACTCTACACTGACACGGGTCCATCCATACAGAGTGACTGCAGGATTGGAGCCTAATCATGCAAACATAGGAAATCTTAATGAGGGAAGTGGGCTCTTCTACTGGGGAAAATGTCAAAGATCTATAACAAATCCTTTTGCCTTTAACACATTTGCCTTTATTTTTCTTTTGTCCGTTTGGCTAATCATAACTCTGATCCTTCATTGTATTATGCACCTTTATTTCCGATTAAATTCAGTGGGGGTTGAAGGAGCTAAGTTCATAGTAGTGAGGTCCATAAGGAGCCACTGGTGCTTAAGCAAGTGTCTTTTTCTACAATCCACCTTCTTCTGCTTCACCCTAAAATGTCATGAGAGTGACTTTTTAATTACAGTAATTTCCAGTGTGAAAACAGCATCATAAACTTTGAATTATGATTTTATTGGGGGACTTGAAAGAATAAAAAGATGACACTACATTCAGTCAAACAAAACTGAAAAGGAGCACAAAAATACAGCCTAAGATTGTGTGTGTAGATCCTCTGCTTATAAAGTACATATCTGTGCCAGTGTTAAAGTTCCTATCAAAATTATATGGTTTTGATTAAAAAGTGAACAGCTGTTACCTTTCCTCAGCTGCACAGCTCCAATCTCCACATATAATTTTTTTTCCCCCCTCTTTGCCCTTCTGCTTGCAGCTTCAGATTTCCATTATCCATTCTTGGTGTTTTGGCTATGACTTACATATGTTTAAGGAATATCTTGCCTCCTGTCCCAGCTGCCAGCAAGGCTCACCCTCAACCCAATTTCAAAATCTTCTCACAGGAATATTCCATTTTTAAAATTATTAAATCTTACAGTTCTTAGTGCTTCTTCCAAGCTGACTGCTTGCTCCCTTTGACAGCAGCTAACTGCTGCTCTCTGCTTCAAGGTCACACCACACAGAAACTGCTGTTGTCATTTTATGTTGCACCCCACCATCACAATCAGCTAAACTTCATATAAGAAACCAAAATGCTTAATGTTATTTCAAGATGAAAATTGATACAAGCTACTGTCCCCGCTTTAAAAAAGAAATAGTTCACAGTATTATGGAGGCAGAGACAAAATACAAGTCAATCAAGAAGAGAGTCCAATCCTACCACTCTTATCAATATCAGACTCTCATGTCCTATTTCTTAAGGAAAGGAGAGGGATGGCAGCTCTCTTCATCATTCACATGGCAGTATGTTTAAGTCAATGGACCTGCATTAAGCACCACCCCATGAAGGTTTCTGCCGTAGTCTGAGTACCACTGACTAGATATCTAGACAGGAAAGAAAATTATCATGTTCATTTTATCAGTGCATCCCATGGTAGATTGAGCCATTAATGCAGGTTTATAAGTAGCTCATGTCAAAATCAAGCTAGTGAGTAAGACCCATTTCTATCTGTCACAGTGAAAGGCAATAGGGATACTTGGAGCTCATCGTTTCCCACCAACAGGATGAGTGGGTCCTGTGAATGCTCAACATCAAAATAATTCCATGCTCTTTATCACACATATCCAAAAATGCAATAGATTGTATGTAGTCATTCTTGTGAACGCTGCCACAGAAGAGAGACTTTCCGAACTATAGTAGTACCACTAGCGGATTCTTACCTTAGTAAAGGATTCTAATTTGTGCCCTTCCAAAGATCTGAATGCCCATCTTCTGATTCTTCAAAGTAAGGAGGTATTGTCAAACCCCTATGACAAAAGTTTAGGCATCCTTTCCAAACAAGTAATGCTAGTGTAGTCTAGAAGCGAGCACATATGACTGGAGTTAAGAGTTCTTGATTTATTCCTGACTTTGTCACTGCCTAAAGTGATACAGTCGGTCAAGTTTTGTAACTTCTCTGTCGCTCAGTTCCACCCACCCACCCCATCAACTGTAAAATGATAATGAATTCCCACTATGGTAAAGTGCTTTGCAATCCTCAGATGGAAAGTGCTGTGTATGTGTGTTTTAAGTATTACTTGAAGCAACTTCCTCTATAGAGTACATCTGTAGGCTTTGATATTTTAATGTATCTGGAAACCTGATTCACGACATTAATGTTACTGAATGGACCCCCACTGATCACACTGTAGTCAATAAGAAAATTCACCATTGACAACAGGACCGAGATCAGTATCTATACTTGTTTCTTTGGTCAAGGAAAGCCTGGGTGCCAGAGTGCATTTAAAACACTGACAACATCCTTATAGTCTGGCAGTAATTAAGTTCCCCCACTCTACAAGGCATTTGTACCATCCTAAGGTGATGTACTATGCAGAATACAATTATACTACCGATATAATAGGAACTGAAGCAGTTAAAACATATTAAGTTAGATTTTTAGATTACGAGCTCATGCAGAAGATCTTTTAGGTCACCCATTTCCTAGGGGAAATGGAACACTTCTCAACACAGAGACAGTGATTATCCATTAAATTCTGCAAGGACATACTTAATATTGGGTAGGTTTTATGACCTGCTGAAAGAAAAAAAGCCCGCTCCTGGCCATGATTCAGGAGCCTTAGGTCCAAAATTTAGTCTCTCTCATATAAAAAGACTTCTCCAATTTTAATGAAATAATGGGTTTGTTATGACAATTCCCTCATTGTCAGACACATACCCCGCCAGAAGAGATTCATCCATAAATAATCTGGGACCTTGTCTAAGAACAAATTTGCACTACTATAATTAAAGTTGCTTTTTTAAACCAATTTACTTCAAATTGGTGTAAATCTGCATGTAAACACTTTTAGGTTGGTTTAATAATAGTTTATTTCAGTTTAGCAAAACTCTAAAAAAACAAAAAACAATCTACACTGAAATAAGACTCTCAAACTAAAATAAGAGTGACTACACAGACTTGCATGCGTTTAAATTGAAATTGGTGCGTTTAAAACACACCTTTAGTTAAATCTGTGCAACTTTCAGATAAGGCCTGAAATAAGTACTCTATGTAGCTCAGCTACTTCCCCAGATTCCACAACACCTCCCATCTTCAAATATCAGCACTACTCTACACAAAGAACAAAGATCTCCCCGTGTGTGGTTGCTGGGTTGCTGTCATAGCAGTTAGTGCAGTTGTGTATTGCCTGCATTTCTTGTGAGTTAGAGCACATTAAAGCAGCCCAGTGTGCTCTAACTCATGACACGTCCACACTTGCAAGGCATGTAGAGCGCTCTGACTCTGCGGCTAGAGCGCTCCTGCTACTCCACCTCGGCGAGTGGAATAACGTTTGATGCGCCCCTACTGGAGCGCCGTGGCGCCAGTGTGGACGCCCTGGTCTGTTAATGCACTCTGATCAGCCTCCAGAAGTGTCCCACAATGCCTGTACAAGCCACTCTGGTCATCAGTTTGAACACTACTGCCCTGCCCTCAGACCTGTCCTTTAAATTCTCTGGGAATTTTGAAAATCCCGTTTGCTCAACTAGGCCTGGAGTGCTCTCAGCGAATCTTTCCAGGTGACCATGCCTCCACGCGCCAGGCGATACACAGTATGGAGCAATGGCGAGGTGCTGGACCTCATCAGTGTTTGGGGGGAGGAAGCTGTCCAGTTCCAGCTGCGCTCCAGCCGCAGGAATTACGATACCATCAGGCAGATATCAATGGACATGATGGAAAGGGGCCATGACTGGGACGCTCTGCAGTGCAGGGTTAAAGTGAAGGAGCTGCGGAATGCCTACAGCAAAGCCCACGAGGCAAACAGCCACTCTGCTGCTGCCCCCATGACCTGCCGTTTTTACAAAGAGATGGATGCAATACTTGGGGGGCGACCCCTCCGCCACTCTGAGTACCACCTTGGACACTTCAGAGCCCAGTCCAACAAGGCATGAGGAGGAGGATCAAAGCGGGAGCGAGGATGCTGAGGAGAAAGAAGACACCCCATCATCCCTAGATGCATGCAGCCAGGAGGAAGGTAGCCAGTCACGGCGGCCAGTGCTTGGGGAATGAAAAATACCAGAGGAGGTTCCCGGTAAGCAGCTTTTATTTTGGGAAGGAAGTTATTCAGTGCGAGCTCTTGGGGCAGGGAGTGTTAGGGCTGCATGCATGCACGCCTAGATGCAGAATAGGGCGTTGATGTGCTCTCTCACATCGCGGTAATCGGCCTCAGTGATCTCTTCAAAGGTCTCATCCAGAACTTGGGCAATGCACTTGCACAGGTTTCGTGGGAGAGCCACTGTGGTCCTTGTTCCAGTCAGGCTAACATGCCCGCGCCACTGTGCCATGAGAGACGGGGGGGGGGGGGGGGG